AGTGTGACTGGTCGAATTCTGGCGAATAAAGTAAAGTCAATATAATGAATAAACTTTTGGTCGGAGACGGGTGATTCCTTTCCGGGACAGGGACGTACGGTACATGCGGCGTCTCTCCTTGCAAGCGGTTCACCGCTTGCGCCGATCCATTGCGAGACTGGCAGTCTCCGCCCCAAACGCCACCGGTCGCCTCGGTTCCGCGTCGGAACGCTCAACGACCATTCGCTCGGCACAGAAGCGAAGCGACAGCAATTCGCCGTTGACCTCGCGAGGTACCGGCTCCAGATCCTCTGCCTACAAGAGACGCACCTCGTCAACGGCCACGAGAAGCTACGGCCACGAGAAGGCTATCGGCACCGCGCAGCGTTACGACGTCCACTCCTTGCCGTCCAAGTTGCGCTTCCATCCCGTCATATTCGCCGTCGCCGGCATCATCTCATCCGTGCGTGGTCAGTGTCCGACCGGATCGCCATACTGAAGCTCAAGTTAAACCAATACTCACGGTACAGAATGGCTTTATGCATATGCGCCACAAATGGGGCGGACGAAGGCCGAGTCGGACAGGTTCGACGACGACGTCCCTGTAAACACGTTCCATCACGTCAGCCAAAGGCTTGACCATCACATTGCGGCGTGGTATGGACATGCGCATCCAGTTCATCGCGCAGAGATGAATTGCTGGAGGTCTTGACCGGTCACTGGCAGCTTCAAATCGTGCAGCGCCTCGATGCGCTCGGGGTCATGCTTTAACCCTTCACCAGAGACGATACATCCACACCAGGCGGTTTGATAGAACCGACACTTGTTTGTGTTCAACTTGAGCCCACGGAACTCGCAAATCTTCAGTACGCGCTCCAACGCGACCAGCAGACCTTCCTTGGTCTTGCTGTAGCCGAGTACATCGTCTAGCCAGATGAGCAGACAGCGGTATAGCTCGTCCACAAACTTCTCTTGCACCGATGACTTGCAATACGTCACGCTGCCCGTGCCACCCATCAACACTCGGATTGTTGTGCAACCGCCGATGCCCGTAAGAGGCGAGAACCTCTCCTGCGAGTCAGGATGCAGCGCAAACTGCCATTAGGACACCACAGAGGTGGTCGAGGATTACCTCTAGCATTGGCATCGACCAGAGAATCCGCTCCGTCTGAGCAATGACTGGACGGACGTCCACTGTCATGCGAAGTTCGTTCGCTTCAGGTTTCATCACGATAAGCGGCGCCGAGTACCACTTCGACGTGGATTGCGGTACCGTGGACCTTATATAGGTTTGGACAGTCACGGGCCAATTATCCGTACGCTATGCCTTTCGGATAATGTATATAGGTTTGGACATACAAAATTCAAGTAATTCCATTTTCGTGGATTCAGCTACAAAATATTCAATACCAAGATAAATAGAGTTCTGGAGGATGACGAAGACGAGAGGTTAAATGCGTGAATAATGCATATAAACTTGAAGATTATATTTATCTTCACCAAAAATATTTAGCCAGACTTGTCAGCATCCATGATTCCAATCACTCCCGCTGGGTGAATGGTGTCCTCGATGGCCATATTTTCCGTCAAGTCCGTAAGCTCACTATCCTCCAATGAGGCTTCAACCTCACCACACTGCTCAATAGCTCTATCAATGAGCTGACACTTACGAAACCTGTTCAATATCACGGCTTCAGGTAGGCCATTCCACACTCCAGTGTTATTGACAAATCACACCAACTTTGTATTTTCAGGTCTCGCACATAGCATTGATTTGGAAATTATTGGCTGAAAATGAGGTCAATTTCTGAACCACTGGGATTCTTCGGTGGGGTTTTTATCACACTGAAGTGTGATTCACAGTGTGATAAAACTGCCCAATCATTCCTATTCCATACTAGTATCACACAAATCACATCGCCAATGGATCGAGCAAACAAAGTATACCAGATGGAGCTCAAGCGCTTCATGGAGTTCTTGGGACGCACCGAGGAGCTCAACGACCCCAACTTCACCGAGACGAACTTGCTGGATGTGACCCCTGAGGACATCCGGCGCTATTTCAACCATAAAGCCTAACTAGCGACACGGCCATCGACCCAATCTACTCGAAGTACGGTCGCTCCAAGTCCGTCACAGCGATACTGACCCTTCTTCGCCAAAGCAAACCACAACCAAACGAGATTTGATAAGTCCATAAATTACATTTATTTCTACCAATCATACGCCATGATATTGGTGGTGTGATTTCTTGTCAGAACGGTCATGATCCATGACACCATTGTTGGTCTCGATGGACCATGCAGCTTCCTTTTATGTATTGCTGGAGTATATATGTATTGTAAGAGGTATTATACGCACGAAGTATTTCTTGTAAGCGTTAATACTTTTTTTTCATTAGTTTATACGAGAGTCCGAACCTATAAGCATGTCTAAACCTATATAAGGTACACGGTAGTATAAACCAGCCGCTTGAAGATCTTCCACATGCTTCGCCATGAACTCCCGCTGCTCTTTCGAGTGGCGTCTTACCTTGCAGCGCACAGGCTTCACGTCAGCCGTAGTGTCACACGTATAGGCACCACCTTAACCGGCGGATCCCGACCCAGCGTGAGTCGGAACACGTCTTCGTATTTGACGAGCAACTTCCCCAGCTCGACGGCATACGGCGTACTTTTTTGTCGGCTCCTCCACCTTGGAGTGCTGTTGCCTCATTGCTTCAGAGGCTTGTTATAACAACGACTTGTGATCTCCAGTCACCCAGGCTTGCTGAGCCATCGACAACTTGATCTCTTCTTGTTGGCATCGCAGTTGTTCTTGCTGCTGCAATAACATCGTACGCCATTCTTCTTGTTCACGGCGGTTCTTCTCGATTGCAGCCGCTATCACCGCCCGTCGGGCGGATTCTTGCTCCAAGCGCACGGCCATCGCCTGCTGCTGCGCGTGAAACTGCGTCAGCTGCTTGTGCGTCATCACTTGACGACGCCGCAGCACGTTCGACGTACTGCAGGCGGAGTTCGTCCAACTCGGATAGCCCCGGAGGGGAGCAAGGGATGATCTTGTCCCGCCACCGCCGCGTGCGGCATTGGAACGGGCACGATGGTCTCCATCGACCTCGTTCTCGTCACTCGCGCCAAAAAAATTGGGAACGGCGACGTATCTTCCATATACCCGGCAAGTAGCAACTAGCTACTAAATAATTCATTGTTGAGTATCCATCTGACGGACCTTTTGAAGTTCCGTTTCGCGCACGCAAAAGGCCAACCACAACGCAGTAGTCACGGGCAAATCACAAAGTGAATTCACCTCGAGGGGCCGATCCCACCAGGGCTTAAACCCTACCCTAATGGCTACACTATAATTTGCCAATCACCGCACATGTAGGATTATCTTGAACGGAGTCTTAGATTGTTTCTTGGATACACTCCACGGCTCCTGCAACAGCGACATCTTAATCGATCTTGACTGCATTTGGGACCTTGACGAAACCGGTGCGTCGGCCCAAGGAATCCATAACAAAGCGGATGCCACTAAGCACTCATAGCCCGGACTCTAGGAAGAACTTCTCAGTTTTGTGTTACTGCAAGTGGTGGTCATGCATGCCCCCCTGTTCTACATAATGCTGGGAGGAAATTTGTGCAACGTACAACGCATGGTGGTCTGCCTGGTTCGAGGTTTGTTGCATTGACGACTTCGTTCCTATTCGCGAAGCTGTTCATTCAGCACTTCGAGTGGTCCGTTGAAACAATTGGTCCTAAGCAACCCGTCCTTGTGCTGATGGACGGATACAAGGCACAGAAGATAATCAACTAGGCGAGGTCCCACGGCATTCTGCTGTACGCCCTGCATCACAAATGTTGCACTTTATCCAACTGCTCGAAGTTGCAGTGTTTTGCCATTTTAAGCGAATGCTCGGCGTTGAGGTGGCACCACTTTCGGTTGATCACAAGAGGTTTGCTTGTAGGGAGGGAATGATATCCGTGGCGTCCAAGACATTTTCTCTGTACTTGACTCGGACTTATGTCGTCAATGGATTTGAGAAGACGGGTGTGAGTCCCTGTCTCGAGACGCCGTGCTGGCGATTTCTTTCGGCGACATATCTAGCCTTAAGACCGCCTCTAAGCGGATAAAGGATACAGACAAGATTAGTCGTAAAACTGCGAGATTTCAATGACGACCTCGTTAGGCTCTTCACGGTGCGCAATCCTATGATCAAGATTGTCGATGATTGGCTTCGCGGGGGTATGTTGGATACTGCCGATGACATTGCGTGCAAAATTGCTGACAAACAATTTAAAAAACAAAAGAAAGAAGCACTGAAAAAGAGAAAACGGCTGCAGCAGAATAAAGCAAAATAGCGCAAGCGAAAAAATGGCTGATGCGCTTCCACGTGAAATTTGAAAGAGGAAAATGAGGACGGTGGAAAACAACTGTAAGCCTTGCCGTCGCAAGCGACAGCATTCATTGATAGGGGCCATGAGTTGTAAGCATCCGGATAAAGTTCGGATAACTTCAATTCGTTGAAAGATGGTGTCCTCGATCTAGAAATCCGACCATTGAACCACTTCCTGCGCGTCCTCAACTTCGAAGACATCGGCCACCTCCGCCAACTTGCACTCGACAGGACCAATGGCTCCACCTACCCCACCGCATACTCGAGTACTGCCTACCGCTGGCATGTTCCAGAACTGACAACGACCTTGTTCTACGGATGCGAACTCGTCCAAGGCACTTCTGTTAGTCACCAGACAAACTGCCGGATATAACTGCGCGTAACCGTAAATTCCTTCCTTCCTAAGAGAATGTGTCAATTAATTGGCACTGAATAATCGCTGTCAGCCAATTACCTAATTCGATTGTTATTATATTGACATTTCCACTTAGTACTACTTCCTCAGTTCCACATTTACTGATGTCCCCCCGACTTGGACACGGGTCAAAACCGATAATTTTTGTATTATGATACTTTGACGTGAATAAGATGTCAAAGGTGATTTCGAAAT